GACATGTTTTTGGAAACGGTGAAAAAACGGCCCTGCCGTTTGCGGGGTCCACAAAGATCGAGGCGAAGGTCGGTGGGAGCATCCGAGCCGCGAGCGCAGCCCTCGCGCTGCCACGGGGAGCGCCAAGTCGGGAGCGAATGGGGGCTCTGCTGGCCACGGCGGGCCTGGGCCACGCAGCGGCCCAGGGGCCCTGCAGTCAGGTCGGGCACGTCCGCCCACAGACGGCTTTTTGGAGGGGTGAAAAAACGGCCCTACCCTGGGTTATAAGTGCGTGGTCTGTGAACCTCCTGGGAACTCCCAAAGCCTAGAGCCGCCGGGACGCGGCCCATCACGCAGGGTTGACCCTGTCAGCCCACAGGAGTTTCAGCGCACAGCGCCTCGTAAACCAGGGTAGGGTTTTTTTTCTGCCCTTGACTTTTGGCCCGAAGACACAGTACAACGCAAGAACAAGTCACGCATAGCCCAAGCTGGTCAAAAAGTAGCAGAGAGATCGTCGCGATACGACGTTTGGACTATTCTCGAGCATGCCTCCTGCAGAGGGGCACGCCCGACGGAACCCCCAATCTCGGGAGCGGCCCCCCGCAGCCCGAACCCCTCCGCACGCCCGATGTGGTCCTTCTGCTTTCGGGGGCGGCCAAGAGTCGCCGAGCGCGTTCCACTACTCACAAAGTGCCTACTCGCAAACGTCCGAAGAACCATACGTCTGCCTTGATGTACTTTATCGTACACTCCCTGCGGCAGATCCAGGCCATTTGCGAGTAGCGACTTTGCGAGTAGTGGAACGCGCTTGTCGAAAGAGGGGGGTGTCCAGGAGGGGTGGGCGCAGATCATGGCCGGCGGCCTGTGCGCGGCCCTCTTTGGTGGGGGGGGGCAGGGGCTCGACCTCAAGAAGCCTTGCACAAGAAGCCCAACCCCGAGACCCCAGGACGTCCATTGTAAGAAGAGGCGCCGTGAAATCTTGAGAGATATCATGGCCCCCGCCATGATTTCCCCCCCCTAGTCATCACCCTCTCCTTCGCGGCCCAAGGGGGGGGCGGCCAGAGACGCACTGAAGCAAGAAGAGGCGCCGTGAAATCTGGAGAGATTCATGGCCCCCGCCATGATATCCACACACCCCTAGTCTTAGGTCGGGCATGTCCCCCTACAGGCGGATTTTGGATGACAAATTAAACATACTCCCAAAACATCAAAATCGTTATACAAAAATGCCGCCCCCCAGACTTCTGGGGCCAGCTTGCCACCCTGAAACGTGCTCGGTCGTCTGGACTGGCGCATACTGCCTCGGCGCGGGTCCATTTTTGACACGACCGGGCCGTTCCTTCCCTCCTCTTCCTGCCTCCTCCCTCCTCATCTTCCTCGTGCCGCATTCCTCCTCCTCGTCCTCCTCCTACTCCTTCTCTCTGTTTCTTCCTCCTCCTCCTCCTCCTCGTCTTCCTCCTCCTCCCCCTTGTGTTTCTCCTTGTCCTTCTTCTCTCTCGTTCATCCTCCTCCTCCAACTCCTTTTCTCTTGTTCCTCCTGCTCCCCCTCCTTCTCTCGTTGTCCTCCGCCTCCTCATCAGGAGGAGGAGGCTCCTCGTCGTCCTGCTCCTGCCCCTGAGATGGCCAAAAGAGGCCTCCAGGCGCCGAGAACTGTGAGACGCGGAGGAGCAAGATCTGGATCCGGCGGAGGCTGCCATGGGGTCCGTGTAGGCCCAGTTCGACCAGCGCGTTCCACTACTCGCAAAGTCGGGCTTCTCCTCCTCCTCCTCCTCCTCCTCCTCCTCCTCCTCCTCCCTCGTCCTTCCTCCCTCCTCCTCGTCCTCCTCCCTCCTCCTCCTCCTCCTCCTCCTCCTCCTCCTCCTCCTTCTCCTCCAACTCCTGACGTGCAGGTTGGGCGGCCGGCTCACATGGCCGGGATCCGCCATTGGGGGATCTAAGATACATGTACACCGATGCAGACAAGTGTTTTTTGTTGTTGCCTGATGTTTGCGAGCAGGCAGTCTGCGAGCAGGGGAACGCGCTCGGTGATGGAGGAGATGGAGTCTCTGAAAATCCCCGAGGGGTCGAGAGGACCAAGACCGTCCACAAGGAGCAGGGTCGAGTCGAGCTCCCCTGGGCTTACGTCGGGCGTGCCCCCCTACAGGCGGATCTTGGACGAAACAGTTTAAATACAACAACAAAAAAGATGCCCAAAACATGCTCAAACATAGTCGAAAAATCGTCCCCACACACTAGTTGTTTTAGCTTTTTTCCCTACCTAGGCTCTGCCTAGAAGGATTCTTACTCTCTTAGCTTAAAGGGCCGGGCAGTGCAAAGCGCCCCGGGCGGTTACCCCAGTCCCCTGGGAGCGGTTCCCCCAGTCCCCTGGGAGCTTTAGCTTTAGCTTTAGCTTTAGCTTTCGCTTTAGCTTAGCTTTAGCTTAGCTTTAGCTTAGCTTTAGCTTAGCGTTAGCCTAGCTTTAGCTTAGCTGTAGCTTTAGTTTTAGCTTTAGCTCAGCTTTAGCTTAACTTTAGCGTAGCTTTAGCTTTGCTTTAGCTTAGCTTTAGCTTAGCTTGAGCTTAGCTTCAGCTTAGCTTGAGCTTAGCTTCAGCTTAGCTTCAGCTTAGCTTCAGCTTAGCTTCAGCTTAGCTTTAGCTTAGCCTCAGCTTAGCTTCAGCTTAGCTTTAGCTTAGCTTCAGCTTAGCTTCAGCTTAGCTTCAGCTTAGCTTTAGCTTAGCTTTAGCTTAGCTTTAGCTTAGCTTCAGCGTAGCTTTAGCTTAGCTTTACTGTTACTACCAATGCTGCTTTCCTAGGGGCTCCAACTCCTAGGTAGGGTCGCACTGGGATAATTTGAATGTTCCTCCTGTCGAGGGACAGGCCCGACTTAACCCTGTGCTCGGAAAACTTCGGCCCCGCCTGCCTCTCCCGACTGCCGCCGCCACTCCCGCAGACCCCGCCCCCCTGCGGGCGCCGATGACGATGACGACGGTGACGGTCGTGCTGGCCGCACCCCGCGGTGGCGGCCAGCACGAGGTTAGGAGGCAACTACTAGGGGTTTTCGTCGGAAAGACTACGGAGGATTAAGCCCCATTTGGGAGCTCTTACGGCGGAGTGGGCCTCGGATTGAGCGGGATCAAGCGGGATTAAGCCGGATTTCGGACCAGGGCAGAATCAGAATTTGACCTCCCAGGAGTTGCATCCGAAGGTGACGGCCATGCTGGCCGCACCCCGCGGTGCGGCCAGCACGAGGGGAGGCTCCCGCCTGGTAGATGGTGTCCCACCAGTGGCTCACGGCGCGGTGGAACTGCTCCCTCCAGGGGCGCAAACGAGGGGGAGGAGGAGGAGGAGGAGGAGGAGGAGGAGGAGGAAGAGGAAGAGTAAGTTCCAAACTCGTACAACGACTCTGCAAACTTTGTTGGCCTCCAGATGTCTCCAGGAACGTCTGGAGGCCTCGGGGAGGTCCCAGCGGACGTTCGAAAGCCTTCCAAAACCTCTGGCGACTCGAGGAGAATCACTCCAAATGTTTGTGGCAATCTTCAGCGATCTGAACTGGATGCCAGGTCGAAAACATGCCCTGGGTAAGAGGACCGACAGGTCTGAGTGCCGGTCGTGTATCAAGCATGTCGCTGAAGGTCTGGATTCATCTCCCACGAAAAGATGGCTACATAATCGACATATGCCGAGATCTGGTCAGTGCGAACACGGACTGGAAGTCAGCCAGCCCCCGCTGCCTGGGTTGCCAAAGCATGTGACGTGATTGGGTCTCCTCATCTCTCTTTCCCCCCTCTCCTGGGATCTAAAATCTGGCTAGGGAGGGGGAGCCAGGGCGGGGGGGAGGTAGCAGAGCTCGTCAACGCACACCCGGGGCTTCTGGAGCCGTTCGAAATAGATACGTGCACCCTGGCCTACAAGATGCACAAAATGCCATCTAAGCTGGCTCAAGCCGGGCTCCAACACGCCGAGAAATCTCCCAAAACAGGTAAGATGGACCTAATGCGTCCCATGAGGCTTCGAAGATGCCCCACGAGAGCTCCAAGAGAAGGTCCCCAGAGGCACACATCGCCCCCACACCATCTGGAAACCGCGCACTTAAACCAGATTCGCCACATTGATCTTTACAGCGCCCAAGACAGCTCACGAGGCTGGCATGATCGTTCCAAATCGGTCCCAAACAAAAACACGAGGCCCCCAAACGGCCCAAGAGGACCCCAACACCCACAGGGCCCCAATGTAGAAGTTAACTCGGACGCAACCTCGAGCCCTCCGCCCAAAGAGGAGCCCCGAAACCGCCAGCAGGCACCGAACAACCCCCCAGGAGGCTCCAAAAGACCCCAAACAGGCCCCGAACATATCTTCAGACGCTCCCAGGTGGTCCCCAAGTGGCACCCAATGTCATTCTACGTGTATATACGTACCCCATCTCCTGGTGGACCTCTCGTGAGTACGTCCTCCTCCTCCTCCTCATCCTCTTCCACCTCGTCCTCCTCCTCCTCCTCCTCCTCCTCCGCCTCCCATGTCCCTATGCCTCTTGCGAGAGCACATAGAGCTAACCCTGTCAGGGCAACCCCGACTTTGCAAGGGTCTGTCAAGCCCAAATGGCCGAATCCCATGACGCCATGAAAACATGCATGCCCGTACCTCACCTCAGAAAGTACTAAGGGTTCCTCTCAGGTGGCCGGCGGACTGGCGTAAACTTGTGTGTTTCGGTTGGGCGGGAATGGTGTGAAATACCGGGCGTGCTCTCGCGCAAGCATTTCCCATTCCATGCGCGCCTGTTTCTACCTCATACGTGACCCCGCCCCTTCGCACCGTTCGTGTTGCCTTATGCATAACATACCACCCCCCCCGTCTTCCCTCCTCCTCCTCCTCCTCCTCCTCCTCCTCCTCCTCCTCCTCCTCCTTCTCTTCCTCCTCTCCCTGCTTGCGCCCATCCTCCTCGCATTCTGTTAAGATGCCCCTGTTCGTGCTCGTGCTCCTGTCCCCCAGCCCCGCCCCTTCGAATAACGAAGGCTCGAAGCGAACCGCGAGAAAGGGCGGCGGAGGACCGACGCGAGAAAGCACGACGGAAAGTGAACCCGCCAAGCGGCGCCTGGAGATGGTCCGTTGGCCTCTGCCTGCTCGCCGCCGCTTTGGCGCAAACGTCCACAACAACGGGAGTTGCTTGGGCAGGACTGGGACACACGCGCTCAGCTCACGAGGTAGAGGCCACACAACGTTTCCACCAAATATGACATGCATGATTCAGAATGATGTCGTTGTTCTGTGCGGCTACTCCGTTCTGTCTTGTCGCACTTCCCTCGTGTTTCCGTCTGCCCCCCTCGCTACTGAACTTGTCAATGTTCCATGCTGCCATTCAGACGCCTCCATCCACCACCACCCTCCTTGGCCTCCTTCTTTATTCCTGCTACTCCTCCTCCTCCCCCTCCTGCCCGTCCTGTTCAATTCCTTCTTCTTGTTAAGAACTCCTCCCTGTCGCACCCAGGGGCCGGCCGGAAGGTTTGCCTGAGACATCCTTACCAACTATGACCCTGAAGCGTAAGACTGGGTAACGCTTTCGCAGATGGAGGGCGGGCCGCTTCCAAAATGCGCACACTCGTCTAGCAACATTGCAAGGATTTCACGGGTTGAGAGCAGGACGTTTCAAAATGATGCTCTCGCCTCAGCACCACGCATATTTGTCTTGGCAAGTTCAAGGATTTTGAATTTTGAAAGCGGGTCGTTTTCAAAATGTGACTTTCGCCGTAACGCCGCGCACACTCGTCTTAAACATTTGCAAACGTTTCGCGGAATGAGAGCGGGCGGTTTTCATACTGTGGCTCTCGACTTAGCGCCGCGCACATTCGTCTTGGATCCTCGCAAAAGCCTCACAATGTTTGAACGGCTCCTCTACAACATGTGGTTGGCGCCTTAGCGCCGCACACATTCGTCTTGCACAGTTGTAGAAATGTCACGGAATATCATTGCTGACGTACCAGAAAAGGTGTTGCGGAACGATTCAGGATTGTCACGGCGCATCAAACAATTGATTCGCGGTAGTTCCGTGCCACCCATGTTGATATCGTCAACGCTGTTGGGTCTGAGGCGGTCCTGGAATATTTCCAGCCTTAAGTCGGGCATGCACCCCTACTAAAGAAACAAACTTTATACACCGATGCGTTTTTTTCCGGTCCCGCACTGAGATTCGCACAAGAACGCGGATTATGGTGTATACGGCATCCTGGTGTATACATGTGTTGCTGTTTCCACGGGAAAACGGGGAAAAAGTAAACACCACAACACCCCGACGTCGCCCCCGGCCCCCAAAAAATCCTGGGATTGAAAAACCGCCCGCCACTGGTAATGTGTATGCTCCAGTTTCCGACTTACAGGCGGATTTTGGACGACAAATAAGACAAATCAAACATACCCTTAAAAATGTCAAAAAAATACAACAATCGACCCCCCCGACTATTTGTGGACTATGTTTGACTATTCCTCCTGTAGAGGGACAGGCCTGACTTAACTCCAGCCCCTCGTCACCATCGGAATCAATGGATGGGAGTCGGCAGACCTCTTGAGTGACGCTAGCCCGCCAGGATTATACCGTGAGGGCTCCCTTCAGGAGAACCCAAACCCAGCGCAAAGGTGGCCCCAAGACGGCCCAAAAGGGTCCAAAGGGCCCCCAAGACAGCCCCCCAACGGCATAATCAAGGTGCATCACATCATCACTAGCAATCATGATCAACACCATCTCATCAGCACCACCATCGGCATTATCGGCATCGCCATCATCATCATCATCATCATCATCATCATCATCATCATCATCATCATCATCATCATCATCATCATCATCATCATCATTATCATCATTATCATCATCATCATCATCATCATCATCAGCAGCAGCAGCAGCGGCAGCAGCATCATCAGCATCAGCATCAGCATCATCATCATCATCATCGTCATCATCCTCAGCATCATCATCCTACTTATCACCTTCATCAGCATCGGCACCATAACACTCATCAACATCATCAATATCGTCACCATCGCGATCACCATCCCCACCATCACCATCACCAGCAGCATCAGCATCAGCACCAGCATCAGCATCAGCATCATCATCATCATCATCATCATCATCATCATCATCATCATCATCATCATCATCATCGACGTCATCATCATCATCATCATCGTCATGACAACCAACATTACCGATCCTCATCGATCACCGCTCATCATCCTCATCACCATCATAACCATCGTCAACACCATCACCATCACCACCACCATCAGCATCAACACCACCACCACCACCGTCATCATCATCAGAATCATCATCAATATCGTCGTCATCACGTCACCATAACCACCATGACGGGCATGGTTGTTATCATCGTGGTTGTCGTAATCACCGCCAGCATCATAATAACCGGCCAACACCATCAGACTCACTATCCGCAACATCATCCTCATGAACCTCATCCTCAGCAGCAGCCGCAATATCATCCTTGCCAGCATGGCCATCACCACCGCCGTCATCACCATCCCCAAAATCACCGCCATCATCACCAGGAGGAGGCGGACTAGGAGGAGGAGGAGGAGGAGGAGGAGGAGGAGGAGGAGGCGAAGGAGGAGGAGGAGGAGGTAGAGGAGGTGGAGGAGGAGGATGAGGAGGAGGAGGAGTATTTCGACTATTTCGCGTCTCGCTCCCCGCGAGTTAGGAGGAGGACGAGCAGGAGGAGGAGAAGAAGAAGGAGGAGGAGGAGCAGTACGAGGAGGAGGAGGAAGAGGAGGAGGACGAGGAGGAGGACGAGGACGAGGGTGTTGCTCCTCTCGGCCCCGCCCAGGCCCGCCAGGAGCTCAGCAGCCACGACCAGCACTCCTCGCCCCCGGGGCCGTCGGCCTGGCCGCGCGGCTGGCTGGCGCGGGCGAGGCCCGCCGTCCACCGCCCTGCCACCCGCCGCTCCTGATCGTCCCCGTCCTCGTTCCTCGCTCTCCGGCTGACTCCTCCTCCTCCTCCTCCTCCTCCTCCTCCTCCTCCTCCTCCTCCTCCTCCTCCTCCTCGAGCTCGCCCCTCTCCCTCGAGCCTCCTCCTCCTCCTCCTCCTCCTCCTCCTCCTCCTCCTCCTCCTCCTCCTCCTCCTCCTCCTCCTCCTCCTCCTCCTCCTCCTCCTCCCCTCTCCCTCCTCCCTCCCTCCCTCCCTCGTCCTCGTCCTCGTTCCCCTACCTCTCCCCCTCCTCCTCCCTCTCTTCCTCGAACTCTTCCCCTGCTTCGCCATTTTCTCCCTCGTCCTGCCGCGGCCCCCTTCCCCTTCCTCCCGAACACTCGCTACGCCCATATAATGCCCTCCTCCTCTTCTTCCTCCTCCTCCTCCTACCTCTCCCCATCCTCCTTCGCCGCTTGATACTCTCCCTCCTGACTTCCCCCTGCTCATGGCCATCCTCAATCGCTCACTACGCATGCCTCGAACTCCTGTTTTCTTCCTCCCACCGTTTCCTCCCTCCCCCACCCGCCCCCGCTCATCCCTATCCCCCTGCTCCTCCGACTCTCCCCTCGTTCTCCTACAACGGCTCCCCGCTCTCTGGTTCCTTCTCTTTCTCACCCACTTCCCCTATCATCCTCATCGTTTGCCTCCACGTCTGCATCCCCCAACCCCACCGGATGTCTTAGACACCCCTGCTGCTCCCTCGAATCCTCCCTCCACAGATTCCTCTATCTCCCTCTCCCTCTCTCTCTCTCTCGCTCTGCTGTGATAGTTGTTCCTCTCTTCCCCTCTCTCGCTCTCTTCTCTCTTGTTTTGTTTCTCTCTCTCTCTCTCTCTCTGTGTCTCTCTGTTTGCCCTTCCCTCCACTCCCCTACTAGCCCCTCCTCCCCTACCCTGCCTTTTCTACCCCTCCCCGCACTCCTCTTCCTGCTTCTCATCCCCGTGTTCCAACCCTGCCTCGTTGTCATCCCTGTCTTCTCCACCTCACACCCTTTTGCCCTACTCCTCTCCACCCTCCTCCACCTCCGCCTCATTGTCCTCCCTTACTCCCCCTCCGTCACTCCCTTACCTCATCCTTCTGTTCTCGTCGGGCCCCTCCATTCCTCACTTTCGCCTCGATAGCAACCCTCCATGCCTTTGCCTTGTTGGTAGGTCCTCCCTGTCGCGCCCGCCAGACCTGTCCGTAGGGCGATCCCGGCGTTTCGCCTGAGACGTCCTTCCAATGTATGGCCCTGAAGCTTGGAATTCGCAGCAGTCACACGGATGGAGCACAGGACGTTTCAAATTGAAGCTCTCGCCTCAGCTTCGAACGACGCTCTCCTGAGCACTTGCAGCAATGATCTATATGGAGAGGAGCACATGCCGCTTTCAAGGTGTCTCGCCTCAGCGCCAGCCCCATCCGTTTCAGAAGATTCCTGGCATCATCCTCGTCCCTCCTCCCAGACTCGTCGCCCTCGCCGGTCCTCCATCCCCCCCCTCCTCCTCCATCCCTCCTCCTCCATCCCTCCTCCTCATCCTCCTCCTCCTCCACCCCCTCCTCCTCCTCCTCCTCCTCCTCCACCTGCTCCTCTCTCCCCCCTGCTATACGCCAGGCAAAACATGGGGAGGCCCCCCCCACCGATCCCACGGTGGGCCCCACCGCCCACCGTGCGGCAGGTGGACAACCAGCGCGTGGTCCCGCCGAGGGGCGGTGGCCTCCACATGCCGAGTGCCTTCGAACCAGGCCGTCGCCCCCCTGCCTCGCCTAACAGGGGCCCACGGACAGACAAAGAAATCCGCCGACCCTGCCGGCGTGTGTGAGGGGCTTCTCCGTTCGCGTCGTGCTTTCTTTCCTGCTCGACTTTTTGTAGCCGCATCGAGATTCCACTCACCGTTCTCCCGCTCTCCGTCAGCAGGGTCCTCTTCCTTGCGCATGCCTTGACAAGCATACTTCGAAAGGAAGCCCCTTCCCTTTTCCCTTCCCCCTGTGCGGGGGGGGGGGGGGGCGGACCCAGGGGGGTCCCGTGGGGGACCCAGGGGCCCCCCCCAGATCGGACTCCCCCGGCAGCCTTCGAGAAAGCCTGGAGGGCGTCGCGAGGAGGTTCTCGTCCTCATCCTCCTCCCTCTTCTCCTCCTCCTCCTCCTCCTCCTCCTCCTGCTCCTCCTCCCCCTCCACCTTCTCTTCCTCCTACTCATCATCGTCATACTCCTTCTCCTCTTCTCTTACTCCTGCTCCTTCTCACCTCTTCCACCTCCTCCTCCTCCTCCTCCTCCTCCCCTCCTCCTCCTCCTCCTCCTCCTCCTCCCTTCCTCCTTTCTCCTCCTCACCTGTCCCTCCTCCTCCTCCTTCTCTTCCTCCTCCTCCTCCTCTCCTCCTCCAAATCCTCCTTCTATCCTTCACATCTTCCTTCCTTCTCCTCTTCTTCTTCTTCCTGCTCATCCTCCTCCTCCTTCTCCTCATCCTCCTCCGCCCCTCCTCCCCTCCTCCTCCTCGTCCTCCTCCTCCTCGTCCTCCCACCTCCTTCACCTCCTCCTCCTCCTCCTCCTCCTCCTCCTCCTCCTCCTCCTCCTCCTCCTCCTCCTCCTCTATCAAAACACATTCCTCCTCCTCCTCCTCCTTCCTCCTCCTCCTCCTCCTCCTCCTTCCTCCTCCCCCTCCTCCTCCTCCTCCTCCTCCTCCTCCTCCTCCCTCCTCCTCCTCCTCCCCTCCTCCTCCTCCTCCTCCTCCTCCGCCTCCTCCTCGTCCTCGTCCTCGTCCTCGTCCTCCTGCACCTCCCTGCTCCTCCTCCTCATCCTCCTCCTCCTCCTCCTCCTCACCTCCTCCCCCTCCTCCTCGCACCTCCTCCCAGCTTGTCCTCTCTCCTCCTCCTCCTCCTCCTCTCCCTCCTCCTCCTCCTCCTCCTCCTCCTCCCCTCCTCCTCTCGTCCCTGCCATCCTCCTCCTCGTCCTCCTCCTCTTCCTCCTCCTCCTCCTCCTCCTCCTCCTCCTCCTCCTCCTCCTTCGCTTCCTTCTCCCCCTCCTGGCCCCTTCGATCAGGGTCGGCCGCACCGGCCGTCGGGCCTCTCCAATAGACAAAACTTCCAGGACTCCCTATGTTTGTTTCCAATATTTGTCCTGGGTTTTCGTCTTCCCCCCCACTTCCCGTATATGTTCCCCTGTTTTCCTGGGAGTCGCCGATTACTTGCGTCTTGCCCGCCGACTGCCCGCGTACGCTAGAGTCGAAGCCGAAGCTCCCCACTCCCGCCCTCCACTCACCTCAGTCGAGGAAAGTGGGGTAGAGGGCGGAGAGGATGGGGGGGAAGAGCGAGGGGAGTGGAGGGCTGCGCCATTTCGGCACCGAAGCCCGCAGCTCCGGGTGCCGAGAAGGAAAAGCAAGGTGGAGATGAGCGGGACGAGGAAGCAGGCGGACTGGGAGGCAGGGGCTGGGGCATTGTGGGTGCGGGGCAACAGGCCTCCCGACGACCCTCGAAAGTTGCCGGCCAGCCGCAGTCCTTGAAGACCCTCTACCCCCCCCTCTGTCGTCGTCGTCGTCGTCCGCTCGTCGCCCGCTCAGAACCTGCCCTTCGGGCCCCTCTGGGGACTCCACCCCGCCCAGCTGCGACGAGGATCGAACCCCGAGGGGAAAAACACCTCGAGACGATGGCGCCGCCGCCCGCGCCCACGCCGCTCGCAGAGGCCAAAACGCCGTCGCCCTCGCCGCCGCCGTCAGGCTTGCGCCGCCGTCATTCTTCGCCGCCGCCGCCGCCACCGCGGGCAGGCGCGCGCGCGCGCCAGACGAGCGCAGCGCAGAGGGGGCGACCCCCCCGCCAGGGGAGACCGAAGCGCCCCCGCCAGCCGCCGCCGCCAACCCCCGCCGCCAGCCGCCGTCGCCCCCGCTCTCGCCGCCGCCGTCGCCCCCGCCGCTGCCGGCCGCCGCCGCCGCGCCGCACTCGCGGCCGACGCCGCGGCAAGCCGAGGGCCCCGGCCGCGCGCCCGCCGCCGCGGCCTGCGCGCGGCGCGACGCGCGCGCGGAGGCGAGCGCTCCCCGCGAGGGGCGGCCCTCTCCGCGGGGGCGGCGGGCGGCGGGCGCGCCCCCGCCGCCGCGCCCGCGCCCCGGGCCGCCAGGGCAAACGGAGCAGATCACCTCGGGGCGGCCGGCGCGCCGCCGCCCGGGCGCCGAGGCCGCCCGCCGCCGAGCGCCGCCCGCGGCGGCGTCGTCGTCGGCGGCGGCGGCGTCGGCGGCGGCGTCGTCGGCGGCGGCGGCGGCGTCGAAGTCGTCGTCGACGTCGCGTGGAGCTGTCGGCGACGGCGGGAGGCGGCGGCAGCGACGCCCCCGGGGAGGGGCGGGCGGGGAGGGCACGGCGTGGGGCGACGCCTCGAAGGCGGGCGACGAGGGGCATCGAGAGCATCGAGGGGCAGCGACCACGATGACGCAGGCGAGAAGACGACGCAGGCGAGAAGACGACGACGACGACGGGCGATGACCCCGAGTGACGACTTCGACGGCGAGCGATGACCACATGTGACGACGTCGACGGGCAAACGACGACAGCGCAGCGTGGAACGAAGAGATTTGGGATGCATCCCGTGATGGCCATCGGAAGCCTCCGCTTCCGCGGGGGCCTCTGGGAAGAAAGAAGGGAGGCCGCGACGCCGCAAAGAGAGGGAGGCGGCAGGAGCAAGTGCCAATGGTCGAGCCAACGCTTGCTCGAATCAGCGGGTGCGCAGCCTGTGTGGAGCACCGCCAACAGGGGAAGCCCCAACGTCAACTCTGGGGGGGGGCCAAGGGGGGCCCAGAAGGAGGCCAACCCACCCAGCAGGTCCTGAACCTCCTCCCCCTCCCTGACACCCATCCCCACGGGACGCCGAGGGGCGGAACGAGAACAGGACGCCGAGTCGAGCAAGCCCTGACGAGCGCGCTCGTGCCCGTTCGGGTAATGCGTGAGAGGCCGCAGATAGCCTCGGGAACCGCAGCTGATTCGGGAGATCCCTGGCCTCACTGCGCAGAGCGTCAGGACGGGATGGGAGACCACGATGGGGAGGGAGAGGGGGCGATGGGCAGGCGGTGAAGAGGGAGGGGCTCAGGTGGCTGGGGAAGGGCGAAGGAAGGGGAAGGTAGGAGAGGAGGCGGGGCGGGGGAGGGCTGGAGAGGGGGAGGGCTGGGGGATGGATGGGGAGAGGGGTGGAGGGGGGGCGTAATCAGGGGAACTTCAGGGGATGTAAGGGTGCCATAAGGGGGGGGCCGGGGGGGGAGGGGGGGCAGGGCATTAGAAGAAGAACAAACGCCGCAAATGAAAACTTTTGGCGCTCCGCGCGGATTTCCCGGATCTGCGCTGGACCCCCCTCCCGGGCGCGCGGAGCGCGCCAGGGGCGGCGCCGGAGGCGCCGCCGGGGGGCCCCAGTCTAGCGCGGAACGTCACACAATTATGTTTATGTTCACGGCGCTCTGTCTCCCTCGAGGGCTGGGAGGGGGGGGGGGGAGCATGCAGGGGGCGGGGGGGGGGGGGCGCGCGGCACGCCACGCTCCACCCCCGCGCGCCTCGATGGCGGTGATGCCGAGGCCGTGCACGTCGAGCCTGCGCCGGGTCGGGCCGCGCCACGGCGCGCAGGGGGCGGCAAACTACAGTCGGCCGTGATTGGACAGGACACGCGAGAGGACAGCAGACCCTTCCGGGGGCCACGCTGCCACAGAAATGCAGGAGGCATGGGTCGCAAGACACAGGACACGAGGGTACCCTTGTGCTGGCAGGTTCGACCTACTAGTCCGGGCCGCCTGTCTTTAAAAAATCGTCCCCATACTATGTTTCAACTATTTTTGCATATTCCTCCTGTGGGGGGACACGCCCGACTTCAATCTCGGGACTTGTCGGCCGCTTGGGGCCATCCGGGCCCCAGCGCGGGCTAGGATGGCCCCAAGAGGGGGTCCAGGCGGGCCCCGCGGCGTCCAAAGATCGCACCAAGACGCCCAACATGGTCCCAAGACGGCTGCAGAGGCCTCCGAGACGCCCCAAGAGAGTCCCACGAGCCTTCCCAAGAGGGCCCCGAGAGGGCATCATCAATGATTTTCGATAGATTGTTCAGTGATGTTGGGGTCGTCGATGAGCCCCCGACGCCTCAAAACTACCCAAGAAGCACCCAGGACCGCCCCAAGACGGCACAAGAGTCCCCCAAGAGTACCCCAACACGACCCAAGAGGGCTCCCAAGACTGCCCCAGACGCGCCCAAGACAGCCCAAATGGGCCAAAAGACAGCCTCAAGAAGGGAACAAGAGGGGGAACAATCCGCGTCTTCATATTCCATCCCTGGTCGTCCTCTGATGGCGTTGGAGCCCGAAAGCGACCCAGGGAGGCCGAAACAGTAGACACCAACAACAAAGTATAGACTGATCAATCTGGCGAACTTGTAGGAATCGCAGCCGTGATGCGCTCCGTTCTCTGCGTCGCTGTCGTGGTGTGCTCCGTTTTCTTCTGCGTCGCACTCGAACCTCTGAGCGCACGCAGTCAACCTGCAACGCCATCCTTTCATCATTATGTTCGAAGAGTTGCCAGTCGCGCCCTCTTCTGCCCATGCGGCCTTCCCGATGCTTGGCTCATGCCTGCCTGCCTGCCTCCGAAAACCCCGGATCCTCAAAGGAACACCAAATCCCTGAGACCTGCCTGGCATCAAAGCCCATGGACCTTGGGTCCGCCTCTTCCTCCTTCACTTCGTCCTCCTCGTTCTCGTCTCAATCCACCTTCTCGTCCTCCTATACCTACCCAACCTTTCTCGTCATCCCTCCACCTCCCTCCGACGGCAACGAGGACGACACCGCCAACGGAGACGCAGACGACGAACACGACGCTGAATAGGACGACGACGACGACGACGAACGGGACGACGACAAACGTCGACGAAGCAAACGACGAATGTGACGAGGAGCACGAATCCAGCTCCGACGACCCCAACAACGACGAAACTGACAACGAAGAAGATGCCGGCGACGGTTAAGAGGACGACTCACCGACGACGACGACGGCAAAGACAAGGAGCGGGCGACGACGACGCCAAGGCAAACGAAGCCGACGAGACCAGACAAGGACGCAGACGACGTCGTGGACGGCGACGTCGTCCACGACGTCGGAGGTGAAGGCGACGACGTCAATGACGCGGCGCGGCCTGGTCTGGTACTGCCTGCAGAAATCCTTGCATGGGCCGCGCGTGCGCGTGGGGTGGTCAGGCGATGTGCGGCGAACTCTCGGATCCTGGAGGCCCCCCCCAACACCAACAAAAAACATGTTGCTTCGAGCGATCCCCCTACGAGGAAACGAGGCCGCATCCCCAGGGAGCCACGGGGCCACCTGGGGCCCAGCGGCCGCGACAGGCACCCGTCGTTCGTCGAAGATGCGGCGCGGGATACCCAGGGAGCACCTGGGGCGTGGCGGCCGCGTGAGTTGCAGGGTGTGTAAGGCAGTTTCTCTGGCGGTTGGAGACGTGCATGGTGCACCCCTCCCCTCTCTTTTCGCCCTTTCGTTTCCTAGAGTAGCCAACTACTCGTAAGTCACCACCTCCACCCGTCGCCAGTCCTACGATTTCTGGTTCGTTCGGACGTCGATCTGTCCTCGAACGGCGTGCGTCGTCGCCCCCCGTTCCTCATCTCCCCCCTGCACACGACATGAGGGGTGTATTGCTCCCCCCCCTTCCGTTTCTTTTTGTGCGCCCCACCCCATGTGGCATTTCGCGATTCAAACACTGACACACGGTGTTTCCTAACTGACCCGTCCGCATCTGCTCAAATTATGCCGTCTTGCTTCTGAGAGGGGGGATTGTGGCAACGCTAGCCGCGCTTCACGATCGGCGCTTTACCCTCGTCGATCAGACGCGCGCTCGCCCCACCGTGGGCCACCATTCCTGGTCCGATGTTTTCCTCGTCGTTGCCCTCGGGATATGTCGCCCCCCTCCGCCTTCCGCTGGTCCCCTAAGTCGAGGTCCTTCTCCTACTCCTCCTCTTCTCGCTGCTTCTCCTCCACCTCCTTCCTGAAATCCAATTTTCCTTACGCTCATGATCCCGCTCTTCCGTCACCTTCTCCTGGTCCAATGTGCAATGTGCAAGATACTCTTCTCTGATTGCGCATCCTCTTGTATCTTGTATGGTTAGCCGCGGGGGCGGACGACAGCGCATTGAAATAGCCAGCGGGCCGCTTGGCAACTAGTGCGCCACAACCGTGACCAGGGGAACAGAAGGCGGCCGCGGAGGAGGAGGAGTGCGAGAAAGGCCTCTGGCGATGGAAATCTCCGCCACGCAACACGCACAGGCGACTTCAGGCACCCGAGACCAGTCAATCACAAAAACGCTGAGCCGCGATCCACCCGGAAGGCAAGCCGTCACACGCTGGGCGGCAGGCATCACGCCGTGGCTGAGCCAGGGCCATCGGCAGTCGTCACTATCAGGGGTCGGGCGGTCCGGGAGCGGCTGCACTCCACCCGTAACATGAGCACGCTCGATGAGGAGGCAAGGGCCTTGGAGGGCCATGTCGACGCTCTGCGAGCGGGGCGCGGCCAGCGAAAGCGGTCAAGGATGGGCCGAAGGGGAAGGATGCAATGGTAACCTTGGAAAGTTGCTTATCCTTGCCATGCGGGCTGACTGTAAGCGTTGCAAGAGCCCCCAATGCACTGGCACCAGGGCGGCACCAGACAAGGGCCCAAGGCCTTACGGAAGTGAGCCCCGGCCTCTCCAGAGGCTCTGCTGCGGGATGGGGCAACACAACGCAACCAAAGACTGATGGCGCATCACACGGCCTGGCCACTTTGAGCTCCAAGGATGTTCACGACATCCCGGCTGGCTGACAGAAATAAACAAAACCGTGGGAAGGTCTGGGCGGGATGGGCGGGATGTCAGATGCAGCGCGAGCGCGCCTGACTGCTGTGACCCCCCCCCTCATCTCAGCTCCTCCTCCTTCCGCCTCTCCCGTCGCCTTCCCCCCCTTTCGTCCTCCTCCTCGTCCTGCGTTCATAGAAGACTGCAGCACCTGTCACCTGTCACCGATGCTCTGGTCATACAGTGGAGGCCAGTCCACAAAAAACTTCCCACAAAAAACCAAACCCTGAGATCCCAGGATCTCCATTGACTTGTTGTGAGGGAACGTCACGCTTTCCATAGCAAAACCATCGAAACCCAAGAAACCAAAGGCACCCTGGAGGCAAGCAGGGTGGTTCTTGGCATGGGTCTCCACTGTAGAGCCTACACGGTGGCCCCATTTGCCGTTTCCGCACTCGTCGGCCTCGGTCTGGGCATGGCTGTCAACTGCGATGCACGTCGAGTCTCCTCCTCCTCCTTCTCCTCCTCCTCCTCCTCCTCCTCCTGCTCCTGCTCCTCCTCCTCCTCCTCCTCCTCCTCCTCCTCCTCCTCCTCCTCCTCCTCCTCCTCCTCGCGAGTGCGCCGCTCCTGGCGAGAGGCCAGGTAGTCCGCGCCGTAGCAGTGCACCATCCTGGGCGCCGCCGGGGGGTGCGCGCCCGCAGGAGGGCGACCACGCGGGCCCCTTCGCGCCCGCCGACCGCGGGCCCCCCAAGAGAGAAAGGCAACACCCCCGGGCGCTGTCGTGCACGCTCCTGGCCCCGGTGCGAGGGAGGGGGAGGAGGAGGAGGAGGAGGAGGAGGAGGAGGAGGAGGAGGAGGAGGAGGAGGAGGAGGAGGAGGAGGAGAGCCCCATGCTCGGCGGCTGGCGTAGGAGGAGGCGAAGGACCTCCTTCTCCTCCTCCTCCTTCTCCCTCTCCTCCTCCTCCTCCTCCTTCTCCTCCTCCTCTTCCTCCTCCTCCTCCTCCTCCTCCTTTTGCTCATTCACCTCCACCGCTCCCGCATCCCCTCCCTCTCCCCACCCCTTGTGGAGAAGGAGGAGGATACTATTTCATCCTAGCCCTGGGAAGCCAGCCGTCTCCAAAGCCGAAGCGCCACTGCTGGGCGAACGGTGCGAGAAAATGCGGGCAATGCGAGACAATTCTGCAGAGACCCACTGAGTTTTGCTGCGTGGCGGCGGCCGAGTTTCAAGCAGCCAAGGCCAGCACTGGCCAGGTCACCACCCACGCGGGGGGGATACCATGGGTCTGCCCTGAGAAGTGCAATTGAGCACCACGATCACTCACTCGCCCTGCGTTGCCGCGTGAAACCCCCTCGGACGTGTCAGCGGCGGCGACATCAGCGGCCGGCCGCACCCCTTCCTCCACGCCAGAGCCTGCTGCACTGCTTTGCGCTTGCCAGAGGGGTGCGGCACAAGATGGCCCAATCCCAAGAACTCCCTCGGCAGGGGTGGGCGGCTCCGAAGGTTGGTTTGTACAAAGCTGTGGTTTCCAACCCGCGCGTTGGAGGGGTGCGGACGAGGACCTCAACAGAGCTCTCTGCCGCGCCACAACGAGGGCTCGTCAAACCTTTTGGCGCAACGCGGGGACGCCCTAACCCCAACATCAAGCCACACCCTGGCGTAACCAGAAAGAGGACAAGCAGGAGGGAGAGAAGGAGAGGGGAAGGGGAGGGGGAGGGGGATGAGCAGGAGGAGCAGGAGGAGGCGGAGGAGGGGGAGGAGGGCAAGGAGGAGGAAGAATAGGAGAAGGAAGAGGAGGAAGAAGAGCAGGTAGTAGTAGGAGAGGAGGAGGCAGGAGGAGGAGGAGGAGGAGGAGGAGGAGGAGGAGGAGGAGGAGGAGGAGGAGGGGAAGGAGGAGGAGGAGGAGGAGGAGGAGGAGGAGGAGGAGGAGGCAGGAGGAGGAGAGGAGGAGGAGGAGGAGGAGGAGGAGGAGGAGGGGGGTCGTTTGTCCCCCGCCGACGGAAAAGGGGGGCCTCAAAACTGAAGACATCCTGACGTAAACCCCACACTGAAGCCACCGGTTTTCCCCAACGGCTGCACGAGCGTGGCCGCAATTTTTTCAGCTCGACATGCCGCGACGTCGGCGCTTCCACCAGGCAGGGAGCTGCGGCGGCGGCACCGCAGCCATATTCGATATAATGGCGACTGCAACGGCAGATACATTCGGCGGCGAGCGAGGGGGTGGAAACGAGAGGGAGAAGGCCTTCTCTGAAGGCGTTTGGGACTTCTCGGAAGACCTTGTGCCCTCTTAGAAGCTTCCTGCGTCTTCGGGAAAGGCTTTGAAGACTTTTCAAAATGCCGGGGGACATCCGAGCCTTCTGAGAAGGCACGCCCCTTCTCTCTTCCCCCCCCGGGCTCGCCGCCGAGATCTGCTTCCAGCGAGCGGGCCCATGGCACCCGCGGGCTGCTCTATCGAACGTTGAGATTCAATCTCGAGGTTCCGGTCTCCAGGCTTCCGCCCTCCACCTCCTCATCCTCCTCCTCCTCCTCCTCGCCCTCCTCCTCGCCCTCCTCCTCGCCCTCCTCCTCCTCCGCCTCCTCCTCCGCCTCCTCCTCCTCCTCTTCCTCCTCCTCCTCCTTCCCTTCCTCCTCCTTCTTCCCCAGCTCCTCCTCCTTGTCTCCTCCTCCTCCTCTCCTCCTCCTCCTCCTCCTTTGTCCTCATTGTCCTCCTTGTCCTCCTCCTCCTCCATCTCCTCCTCCTCCCTCCTCTCTCCTCATCCTCCTCTCTCCTCCTTTTCCATCCTCCCCTCCTCCTCCTCCTCCTCCTCCTCCTCCCTCCTCCTCCCTCCTCCCCTCCTCCCTCCTCCCTCCTCCCCTCCTCCTCCTCGCACAGCTCCTTCTCGCACAGCTGCCGCCTGGGCTGCCACGGGCCGCCGAGGCCAGCCGACCGCCGCCCATGGTGCCGGAGAAGGGCGGCGACGGGCCGCACCGCCGCGTGGGCCGCCGAGGGCACTCCGAACGGTGCTCTCTGCGGCGCGCCGCGCGGGCGGGCCGGTCCAGGAGGACGCCGGCCAGTAGCGGCAGTCGCCCCCGATGTCCTGGGCAGGGCCCATGGGGAGGGGGGGGGGAGGGCCAGAGCATACCCGAGACGCGTCCTCGATGTTGCAGTGCGACGGGGGAGATGTCGACCCCCGTCCCGGGCCTCGTGTGGGGTTTTCGAGCGTGCCAGGAGGTTTGGGGCCCCCTTCTCTGGGGTATGAACGATGGGGGGGGGGCCCTCGGGGTGTGTCCCAGGGTTTCCCCCCTTTTAGGAATCCCGAAACGGTGCGGTGACAGACCGTGCGGTGACCTCGAAATCCCCCAAGACCTCACCGCACGGTCCGTCACCGCAGGGTCTTCGGACCCTGGAGGCCCCTGTCGCCCGAGACGTCGTCGGAGAACGACCGGAGTCCCAAAACCGTGTGGTGACCCCGAATCTTCACCGACTCACCGCACGGTGTGGTCACCACCCCGTTAGGGGCCCCCCGATCCTTCTGCGTGGCCAAACTGACGGGCATAACCCGGGGGATCGGAGTAGGAACATCGCCTGCGACAGGACACCCTCCCGTGGCGAGGCCCCGTCCGCCCCAGCATGCCTGTGGGCATACCACGGGAGTGTCTTGGCAGCGTAATGTTCTGAGAACGAATGGGGCGCACAGGGACATACTGACGCCAGATGTCCTCCCTGGAGACGCGCGTCCGACCCGAACATATAGTATACCCATCTTGTAGTATGTCATTCCCTGAGCGGTGTGGTCAAAAAGCGCTCGCCACGACACATGTACTATAAGATATCTCGGTACGCGCGTCGCCCCTGGGGCGCGACGCACATACAGTATAAGTATGTTGGGGTGACGCCGAACGAATGCCATGTGGTTGAGACATGAAGCCGAAATGCTAAAACGAAAACCACCCCAACTAAACATGATCCCAAACCCGTTCGTGCAACCCCTCAACGCTTCTCCGCAACAGTCTCTGGGACAAGCCAAGACCCTTCGCCACTGATCGAGGTCCTCTTCACGACAAGACGCGCCTTGCTTGAACGCAGGGCTGGACCCGAACGGTCTCTGTTTCGTTTCCTTCTCCGACTTGCTGTTCGATGTGTATTCTGCCTGTTCCCCTGGGCCTCCCCGCCAACACGAAAAGCACAACGAAGCCCGAACTCCAACAAGACAACGTCTAGGCCCAGCCCTGCTTGAAAACAGCAGCACCACATGGAAGGATGTTGTTTCGCTTCGCGTTCCGACTTGTGGTTCGATTGGTTGTGCCTGTTCCCAGGGGCCTCCCCGCCAAAACGAAGCACACAATGAAAGCACGAAATCCAATCAAACAACGTCTGGGCCCAGCCCTGCTTGAAAAGACCAGCGCCACACGGTCCCCGGACCCCGCCCCTGGCGGCGCTCGGGGGCCGAGGTCATGCTCGTCATGGACGTGCCCGGGCAGAGCCTATGGTTAGGTCGGGCATGTCCCCCTACAGGCGGATCTTGGACGAACATGAAAAATAGGGGCTACTCCTGTAGAGGGACAGGCCCGACTTACGCCTGTGTGTGGCGCCCCTTCTTGCAGACGGAGGCAGGACGGGGCTCAAATCGGGGGAGGCTATACGCCAGGGTCGTGTCGTGCTGACTACGGCGTTGGTTTCTGCCACCGCGGGGATCGTTCAACCTTGAACGATCGGCCGTTTCCGAAACGTCCCAATCGTTCCACATCAAACGATTCTGGATCGCCAGCGGCATTCAAAATTGGATGCCGCTGGCGGGGTCGCCGCGTGTCGACACGACACGCACCTACCGTATACGCTACGGAGAAATCCACAGACACGCTCAAACGAACTTTGCGTGTAGCTTACAGGCATGGGTGTCTGTGGATTTTTGCTGGAGGGTGCTCGGCCCGCCGCGCATATGCTTGCGCACGCTGCACACCTCGCACGCTTCGCGAATGGAACTCCTCCTTACTATCTTGGCGTATGCGCGGCCATGCACCGCAGCCACACGGGAACGACACAACGACGGTGATGCGCGGCACGCAAGCGATACTACGGATTCAGTCAACCCTCGGAGTAAGGGTGCACGATAAGGATGCCAGGGCCTTGGAAAGCCCGCCCGACGGGTACCCTAAGGGGCTGGCCAGCGAAAGTTGCCAGGGATGGACCGACAGGGCAAGGATGCGAGGGTAACCCAGGACAAATTCCTGATCCTGACTCCGCGGGTTGACTGTGTCGTGCGCACGGTGCGACTCTGTTGAAGCCGGCTGTTTAGGGCCAATGGCATGTGTCGCGCCTGAGCGGGATCACGCCCCAATCCACCGTGTTCGGCTTCCCCGCCTGGAGGAAGACGCAGAAAGCGCAGACGAAGACGGCATCGAGGGCGACGACGAGTACCGTGGCGGCCGCAGAGACTCCACCAGTCATCTGCTCTCCTGGAGCACCTCGTGCTGCTGCAATTTCTTCAGGCTTCGTGCGAGCAGGCTGAGAAGACGAAGATGATGATGACGCTGACGCCGACGACAAGGATGAGGGAGCGGCGACAACGAAGAATCATGAAGGTGGCGGCGGCGACGGCGATGGCGACGGCGACGACGGCGACGACGACGGCGGCGGCGACGACAAACGTTGACGACGAGTGGGCCCCGTGACGACGCGCCCTGGGAAGCGCGCAAGCACAAGGCTTGGAAGCGCCTTGGTGACCTCGTCCTCGATCCTCGACGGTCGGCGACAAGGGCGGCGACCCCTGGAGCTCTGAGCACCCACCCCCTTTCCTGCGGGAGCTGGGTGGCCAGTCCCAGGCACTCCCTTAGAAGCCTCCCAGAATGGGTCCGAGTAGATCGCGCCGCATCGCCGATGCATGGCTGACGCATCGTCGATGCATCGCTGGTGCATCGCCGATACATCGGCAACGCCGGCGATGCATCGGAACCGTCGGCGTGGAGAACATCGGACTCAACAACGAGCCGCATCGCCAAGGCATCGGCGAAGCGGCGCATTCCTCCGATCCCGTCTACTCCGACGCCATCTGGGAGGGCTGGATTTCTTCCCCCTAATCATGGTCCCAGAGCACAGAAGCCTTCCTCCTCCTCCTCCTCCTCCTCCTCCTCTTCAGCGCCACCCTGATGGGCATGGGATGTCCCCAGCAGAAATCCAATGTCGTGATTTCTCCCACGCGGGGCCCCTGGAACTCTCGACCCACACCCCAGGATTAAGTCGGGCCTGTCCCTCTACAGTGGGAATATTCTAAAATAGTCAACAAATAGTATGGGGACGATGTGTCTAGTATTTGGAACTAGTTTGGATTATTTGCTGACTGTTTGAAATTATTCGTCCACGCTCTGCCTGTAGGAGGACATGCCCGACCTAACCCCAGGACCAATGTTTCCCCCGAATCGTTTCTGTTTGACGGCCCTTGGCCTGGTGAAGCCCCCCACAGGCCTAACACAATGAAAAACCCTCCGCCGTTCATCTGGTTCACGACCCCTGGGGAAACCAATAGGTACCGATACCGCTACTCCCTGGACCTCGCCCGGGGTGCGTTCGGACGAGTTTCGAGGCGACTCCAGCGGTGGCGACGAGGGCCTCCCAGGAGGCCCACCAAGGGGAAAACGGGCAAAGGGTAGCGGCATGGGTACACTTGCCTCCCCCGACCTCCGCCGTGACTTCTGCTCACGGCTCGAGGCGGTGCGGGCAATTGTCCTCACCAGACGGGGGGGGCCCCGGCCACCCGCAGGACGGCGGCGCCCTCCCGCCGCCTCCCCGCGCCGCCAGGCGCGGGAGCGCCGCCTCCCTGTGCTGAAGGGGCCAAGGGACACACACGCACGCACACGCACACACACACAAATAGACGCAAGTGGCAGGATGCCCAACATTTTCCCCGATGTTCTGGGCTCCCGTCTTCCCCCCCACCTCCCATAGTTTCCATATCAGAGTGAGGGGGCCGAACGGTCATTCATTATCCCTGGGTGCGTGGCTGAATAAATTCGTGGTGGGAATTATGCTCGTTGCGTTGTTGTTGTTGCTGTTGTTGAACTCTCACTTCTGCGAACTAATTATTGCTGATCCCCCCATCACCGGTGCATGTTGTTTTTTCTCCAGCAATTTAGTCAGGACCCCCGCTCCCATCTGAGACTTCCTCACACTTAACTCAGGAACGGCGCTCCCGCTTGAGACTGCCTCGCAATTGAATCAAGATTTCCGCGCAAATTAATCAAGACCCCCGCTCCCGCCAGAGAACCCCTCACATGCCATTCAGGAATTGCGCTCTCGCCTGTGACCCCCATGCAATGTATTCAAACATCGCGCTTTCGACGATCAGGAAACACGCTGCGCCAAGAACGCCGTTACAATTTTTGATAATCGCGCTCTCGCCATACCCAGGCATCCCGCTTGCGCCCGACCCGCCCGTCAGGGGATCACCCGCCCGTCGTGGGTTGACGCCCGAGACTTCCTTCAGGAATGGCGTTTTCGCCTAGGACTTCCTCGAGCGTTCACGCTCTTACCTCCTTGCTTCTCCTTCCTCTCCCTCCTCCCTCCTCCCTCCTCTCCTCCGTTCTCTCTCCATCCTCTCTTCCCTCATCCTTATGCCTCTCTGCCCTATCCCCTCTCCCTCCTCTCCCTCCTCCCTTTTCCCTCCCCTCTTCTGCCTCCTTCCTGCCTCTGTCTTTCTCTCTGTCCCCTCTCTCTCTCTCTTCCTCTCTTTCTCTACCTCTCTGATCTGTCTTTCTCTCTCTACGTATCTGTTTCTCTCTCTCTCTCTCTATCTCTCTCTGTCTCTCTCTCTCTCTGCCTCGTCGTCGTCGTCATTCAGGGTCGGCGGCACCGGCCGCAAGGCCTTTGCAATAGTCAAGCAGCATCCCAAAATTGCAAAACAAGACACTAAACAAAAAATCGCCCTCCGACCATGTGTTGACCATTCTTGCATCTTCCTCCTGCAGAGGGACGTGCCCGACTTGACACCTATCGCCCCCGCAACGGTCCGTGACCCGCCAGGCGCCCTGCTCCGCGCCGCTGGCCCCCGGCGGTGCGGGGTCGGACACCCAGCTCTCGGAGGCGACGGCCAGGCCGAGGTCGCAGAGCCTCCGGGGACGGGGGGGGGAGGAGGAGGAGGAGGAGGAGGAGGAGGAGGAGGAGGAGGAGGAGGAGGAGGAGGAGGAGGAGGAGGAGGAGGAGGCGGAGGAAGAAAAGGAGGAGGAGGAAGAAAAGGAGGAGGAGGAGGAGGAGGAGGAGGAGGAGGAGGAGGAGGAGGAGGAGGAAGAAAAGGAGGAGGAGGAGGAGGAGGAGGAGGAGGAGGAGGAGGAGGGGGGAGACACGCTGTGTGGGGGAGGAGAGCAGGACGGCGGGTGGCTGGCCGTGGTCGGGCCCCCGCCAGGCCCCGGGACGGGCAACCATCGGCCCGGGACGGAGAGTCGCTGCGGGGAAGAGCAGGTCGGGACTCCCCGGGGGGCCGCGCACGGAAACACCACTGCATCGGGTGTCTGGGCAGGCGCCTCTCTCTCTCTCTCCGCAGCCGGCAGGGGTAGGCCGGACACCTGAGTCCCAGCTGCAGCCTTCTTGTTTCACTTTCTGGTTCCGGACTGGGGTAGTTTGATTGCCACTTCCCGCCGCGCAGGTTGGGACGCTCGAGGGAAAAGGGTGTCTGGGCAGGCGCTCTCTGGTCGGAGCCGATCTTGGCACGTCTTCCCATCCCTTTCGCTATCGCTCTCCGTCTCGCTGGCAATGCGCCTTCTTCCCCGGGGTCTGCACCAGCGGGGGAGCGACGAGACAGGCCCTCTTGGGTCCAAAATGTCCCCCAACGCGCCATAATGGCCTCCAAGGTGGCTCAAGATAGCCCCGGGTGGTCCGTGGTAGCCTCGGACATGGTCTGCGAGGTCACAGGAGAAACACAAGGCGGCTCCAAGCGGACCATAGCCGCCCGAGGAACTCCCCAGGAGGCCACCACATTTGTGCTGGGCAACATGGGACATCAGTGATGCTTGCCCTTTTGCGCTTTCGCACCACACGAGCCAATGAAGCTCCATGATGGACCCAAGATGGCCCAAATCCCGATCTGTGTCGGCAGCGAGCGAGGGGGGGAAATGAAAAGGATGAGACCTTCTCAGAGTGTTCGGAAGTCCCCCGGCCTTCTGAGAAGTTTCTAAAGCCTTCCCAAAAGACAGAACAACTGATCAGAAGGCACGAGAGCTTCTGACAATCCCAGCCGCCGTCTGAGATGGCCTTCTCCTTCTCATGTCCCCCCCTTGCTCGCCGCCGAGTGGAGCCCTCTGGGCGGCGGTGGTTTATGCAGAGCGTTTTCTCTTCCACGTACCTTCTTCCCCTTCGGGGAGGGGTTTACCCCTCCTCCTGCCCCCTACCCCTGGGTCTGGATGGGGCGGAAGATGGCTCCAGATGGCTTCCAGTATGCTCCAAGATGGCCCAACGACCACTCCAACAGGGTTCCAAGTGCTCTGAGCCCACATCAGGGCCCCCTCCCCCAGGGGCCAACGTACTTAAAAAACGAAACTGAAGGAAACTCAGTGATTGGTGCCTTCTGACCGTTTCGCTTCTGATGCGCTTTCGAAGCCTCAAACGTTGACCAAAGATCGCCCAAGAGAGCCCCAACCATGAGGCACCTCCAGACGGCCCCAGGGGCGCCCAAGAGCGCCCCAAGACGCGATTTTGAGGGCCCAGGGGGGGGACTTAGATATGTGGCCCCCCCATGTTCATCGATGCCCTCCAAGAGGGCCCCAGGAGCCCCTCCCAGGGCTACCGGGAGAGGCCAAAGAGGGCCCCAAGATGACCACAACACGGCCCCAGGAGCGCCCCAAAGCGCTCCCAAAGCGTCCCACGAGGGCCCCGAGAGGCGGTGTGCCTCCTCTGCCTCCCTATTTACCTTTTCCTTACACATGACTTGTTTAGGGTTTACGATTTAGGGTTTAGGATTCCTTTCCGTAAGCCAGTCGAGAGGGCGGGCCAGGAGCTTCGCATGAGGCTTCCTCAGCATTTGTGGCCCTGAAGCTTCCAACATGGAAACACTTTCACGGATGGATGGCGGGCCGATTTCAAAACGTGGCTCTCGCCTTAGCGCCGCGCACCTTTTTATCCGTGAAGTAAGAATGTGCGAGAGTTTCATAGATTGAAGGCGGGCCGTTTTCAAAATGCAGCTCTCGTCTTGGCGCCGCGCACATTCGTACTTAAACCTTGCAGGAGTTACATGGATATGGGGCAAGATGTTAGAAATGCGAACCTCGTCTTAGCGCCGCGCACATTCGTTTTTTTCGGGCGTAGCCCGAATCTGTTTTTTGCGGGGGAACCTGACTGAGCTGAACTGAACGGAACTGAACTGAACTGAACAGGCTGATCAAACCCATTACGCGACTGTTCTATTCTCGGCCGCCAAGGGCGCAACCCATGGCACAACCGATAAGAGTCGGCTGTAGTACCAGCCGCCGAGGGCGCAACCTATGGCACAACCAGTTGGAGGCGGTCTTATTCGCAACGGCCGAAGGCGCAACCTACGGCCCCTATCAGTAGGAGACGGTTTTCTTCTCGGTGGCCGAGGGCGCAACCTATGGCACAACCAGTAGGAGACGGTTTTCATTCTCGGCGGCCGAGGGCGCAACATATTGCGCAACAAACAGGCGACGGTTTTATTATATGCGGCCGAGGGCGCAACCTATGGCGCAACCAGTAGGAGACGGTTTCCATTCTCGGCGGCCGAGGGCGCAACATATTGCGCAACCAACAGGCGACGGTTTTATTATATGAGGCCGAAGGCGCAACCTATGGCGCAACCAGTAGGCGACGGTTTTCTTCTCGGTGGCCGAGGGGCGCAACGTATGGCGCAACCGATAGGCCCGCGACGGTTTTATCATATGCGGCCGATGGCGCAACCTATGGCACAACCAGTGGGAGACGGTTTTCATTCTCGGCGGCCGAGGGCGCAACATATTGCGCAACCAACAGGCGACGGTTTTATTATATGCGGCCGAGGGCGCAACCTATGGCGCAACCAGTAGGAGACGGTTTTCTTCTCGGTGGCCGAGGGCGCAACGTATGGCGCAACCAATAGGCCCGCGACGGTCTTATCATATGCGGCCGAAGGCGCAACCTATGGCACAACCAGTAGGAGACGGTTTCCATTCTCGGCGGCCGAGGGCGCAACATATTGCGCAACCAACAGGCGACGGTTTTATTATATGCGGCCGAGGGCGCAACCTATGGCGCAACCAGTAGGTTTTATTCTCGGCGGCCGAGGGCGCAACATATGGCGCAACCAATAGGCCCGCGACGGTCTTATCATATGCGGCCGAGGGCGCAACCTATGGCACAACCAGTGGGAGACGGTGTTCATTCTCGGCGGCCGAGGGCGCAACATATTGCGCAACCCGCAGGCGACAGTTTTATTATATGCGGCCGAGGGCGCAACCTATGGCGCAACCAGTAGGAGACGGTTTTCTTCTCGGCGGCCGAAGGCGCAACATATGGCGCAACCAATAGGCCCGCGACGGTCTTATCATATGCGGCCGAGGGCGCAACCTATGGCACAACCAGTAGGAGACGGTTTCCATTCTCGGCGGCCGAGGGCGCAACATATTGCGCAACCAACAGGCGACGGTATGGCGCAACCAGTAGGAGACGGTTTTATTCTCGGTGGCCGAGGGCGCAACATATGGCGCAACCACTAGGCCCGCGACGGTTTTATCATATGCGGCCGAGGGCGCAAACTATGGCGCAACCAGTAGGAGACGGTTTTCATTCTCGGCGGCCGAGGGCGCAACATATTGCGCAACCGACAGGCGACGGTTTTATTATATGCGGCCGAGGGCGCAACCTATGGCGCAACCAGTAGGAGACGGTTTTCTTCTCGGTGGCCGAGGGCGCAACGTATGGCGCAACCAATAGGCCCGCGACGGTTTTATCATATGCGGCCGAGGGCGCAACCTATGGCACAACCAGTAGGAGACGGTTTTCATTCTCGGCGGCCGAGGGCGCAACATATTGCGCAACCGACAGGCGACGGTGTTATTATATGCGGCCGAGGGCGCAACCTATGGCGCAACCAGTAGGAGACGGTTTTCTTCTCGGTGGCCGAGGGCGCAACGTATGGCGCAACCGATAGGCCCGCGACGGTTGTATTATATGCGGCCGAGGGCGCAACCTATGGCACAACCAGTGGGAGACGGTTTTCATTCTCGGCGGCCGAGGGCGCAACCTATGGCTTAGCGCGAAACCTATGGCGCACCCAATCGGCGTCCGTTTTAACCTCTGCGAGCCGGCGACCGCGAGGAGGGCAGTGCGAGGGGAGCGGGCAAGAGGAGGAGGAGGAGGAGGAGGAGGAGGAGGGGAAGATGGGGGGCCAGGAGCAGGACGAGGAGGAGCACAAGGAAGAGGAAGAAGAGGACGAGGACGTGGAAGAAGAGGACGAGCAGGAGGAGGGTGAGGAGGAGGAGGAGGAGGACGAGGAGGACGGCGACGAGGACGAGGACGACGGAGAGGAGGAGGACGATGAGAACGAGGAGGATGAGGAACAGGATGAGGAGGGGGAGGAGGACGGGGAGGGACAGGAGGAGGATGAGGACGAAGACGAACAACGAAGACGACGGCGATGTCGACCAGCACCGCCACCGCGGCGACACCCGAGGCGACCACGATCGCGCCGGCGTGGCCCTGACTGTCTGGACTTGGAACTGCGTGCGGGATGCGCCCGACTTATGCTCGCCGTTTGAGCTGGCCGCGAAGCCCAAGCTGTCTTGTGTTAATCGGGGGCCCGCAAACCCGAGGCGACCACGATCGCGCCGGCTGTTGAAGCTTCGAACAGCTGCGGCGACGAGCGCCCCCCTGAGACTTACCACACGGTGCCAGACACGCAAAAGGATCAACGTCATCGAAGCTCGAACCTCCTCCGTCTCTTCCTCTGGATCATCTGCCGTGTACCTCTTCTGGACACTGCCCCGAACAACTGTCGAGCCGAGTCAAGCGGTGGCCCCTTGCGATGCCCCCCCCCCCCGGAGCCCCGCCCCCCCCAAAACACAGACCTGCCAAACACCTCGACCGTCGAAGCTCCTCCTCCCGATCCTCCCCTCGGGCTGCGCGCGCCAGGGGGTGGGGCGAGCGGTGTGGCCCCCCTGGCTGGCCATCGCTCGGACGCCCATTCCCTGTGCTTTGTTCGGTTTCGTGCGTGGCTTCTTCGCCAAATGATCACGGATGCTCCTCGATGGTCCTCGCCGAAGGAAATCTGCACACGTTCGAGCGATGCCAAGCTGGAGCCCTCCCGCCTTCTTTCCGGCCCTCGAGCCTCCGATCCAGGCCGAAATCTCCCACCCCTGCCTTCATGCCAGGCCGCCCCTCCCAGGAGCCCCGAGCTCTCTCCAGAAAGAGAAGCTGCTGAGGATGAGGATGAGGAGGAGGAGGAGGAGGAGGAGGAGGAGGAGGAGGAGGAGGGGGAGGAGGAGGCGGAGGAGGAGGAGTGCTTGTCTTGGCCGAGCCAAAGCGCCTTCCGCGCCAAGCCACCCCGCACCATGCTTGCAAGGCCCCCCCCCCCGTTCGACGCCCGCTCAAAACTGGTCGCCTCGCTGCGCCGAGGCGCCTTCGGAGCCGACCCAAACCACACCGTGCACAGCGCCGCCCCCCCCGACCGAGCCCCCCCCGACCGAGACCCCCTCAAAACTGGTCCGTGGACCCCCCCAGGGGCCCACCCTGGCTGGTGCTCCAAGGTTGCCCCCCTTCGCGCAGCGCGACCACGCGATGCGCGGTTGTCCTCTGGAAGAAAAGAAAACTGCATACAGTGAGGTTTCTTGGATCTGCGCCGGAGCCCCCTCCCTGGCGCGCGGCGCGCTGGGGGCGGCGCCCGAGGCGCCGCCGTGGGGGCCCAGCGCGGAGCCAAGAAATTCGCACGGAGCGCCAAATGTTTATGCTTGTGCTGTGTTCTCTTCTTCTAGTGGAGGGGGGTTGGCTGGACCTTCCTCTTCTCCGATGTTGTGATCGTTTTGTTTTGGTTCGAGGGGGGGAGGGCTTGGACCTTGGAAGTTTCTGCTGTTTTTTTCTCGTTCGATCTTCGCACCGTCGCCCTGCCTCGGTGGAGGGCAGCCCATACCAAGCAACGCGACGACCTTGGCGCCGAGGGCCCCCCAGGAGGAGGAGGAGGAGGAGGAGAAGGAGAAGGAGGAGGAGGAGGAGGACCGACGCCCATGGAATCCCCAGGACTGCGACGTCGTCGACAATGTCGCCGTTGCCCCCCCCCCCGCTCCCGCGCTCGACAGGAAGGGAACGAGCCCCGAGGGAAACGGATCCTGGACCCAAGGGCCTCGCCCTGGGACTGCTTCTCCACCCCACTTGGAGGGTTCTGGGAAACCAAAGACGGCGAAGAACTTGAGGACCAGCTTCCCTGAGGACCCGTTTCCGACATGGCGACCACGTGCCGCCGGCCCACCCTTCGAAAACGACTCACGGAAATGGTAGTGCCCATGGCGCCACGTAGCGCGCAAAGCGGACATATACGATGCATCGTCTCCTTGACATGGCGCCATTTGGCGCTGTCGGTCGTTGCTGAGCGCTGATCTCGGCACTCCCGAGCGCTGCTGCGCGCTATTTGACACTACTGGGCACCCTTCGCCGATGTACGCTCGGTCTAAGGCGAGCGGAAACTCCCGCGCTGAGGAGGAGGGGGAGGAGGAGGAGGAAGAGGAGGAGGAGGAGGAGGAAGAAGAGGAGGAGGAAGAGGAAGAAGAGGAGGAAGAGTAAGAAAAGGAAGAGGAGGAGGAGGAGGAGGAGGAGGAGGAGGAGGAGGAGGCGCCCCCGCCCGCGGGGGCACCAGAACGAGGCCGCCGAGTCCGCCTCCTCGGCGCCCAGGTGCCCAGGCGCGTCGCTGGGCGACAGGGCAGGGAGGGGGGCGGGGGGGGGGCCTGCCTCGGCGCCGAGCCCGGGGGGCGAGGCAGAGGTAGGGAATCGAACCCTATACAACGACGCTTTTTTCCCGACCCTGCATCGAAATTTGCACTGGAGAGCGGATCCTGGTGTATACGGGACCCTGATATATGTATGTATATATATACACATGTTTCGCTGTTTCCCTGGGAGAACGGGGGAGACGTATACACCACACACCACCCCAACGTCGTCCCCGACCCTCCAAAGAGTCCTGGGATCGAAACAAACCCGCCACTAGCAATGTATATGTTCTAATTTCCGATCAAAGGCTCGGATGTTTTGTCTCATCATGTTCCTTGACGGTCGTTACCACATTGCATCTTAGGGGGGCCTCGCCTGTCCCATCCCCCTCGGTTGCACTGCATCTTCGGGGGATCTTGCCCGTCCCGTCGCGCCACTATCCGTGTCGAGTCCGTGTTGCGAGCCAACTCCGCGTCGAATCCGCGTCGAACCCACACCAAGTCCGCGTCCAGTCCGTGCAGGACAGGCGAGGTCCCCCGAGGATGCACCGCAACCGACGGGCGGCTGGGGCGGGGGCCCGGAGCCCTGGAGCCGTGGACGGCGGGGCACGTCGGGACGCGGGCTCGCTGCGACCGCCACGCTACGCGCGCGGGCACCAGCATGTGGAGGGGGGGGGGGGGATCCGGCCCTCCCCCCTCCACGAGAAGGGGGCAGCACAGCACAAACATCAGCTTTTGGCGCTCCACGCGGGTCTCTTGGAGCTGCGCTGGGCCCCCTTGCCTGGCGCGCGGAGGCGCCGCCGGGGGGGCCCAGCGCGGATCCAAGAAAAATCCCGGCGGAGCGAAACAGTTTCTGCTCATGGCGTTTGTTTCTTCTTCGATCCAGGTACAACCGTTACCGCAGATCGCCAATAACCCCGCGGAAGAAAAACAAAACCGTTTCCGTCGGCGGCGAGGCAGAAGCAGCTCGCTCCAGCGTGGGGCTACTCGGGGTGACCGAATGGCCAGCTGGCCGGCGTGCCGTGCGGGGGAAGAGAGCGAGGGCGGCCGCGCAGAGGGAGGGGGAAGGGACGAGCACTCAGCCGTGGAAAGGGGGGGGGGAACCGACAAATGCTCTCCCAATGGACATCTGCGCAGCGCCCACCTTGGAGGGGCGGAGGAGGGGGAGGAGGAGGAGGAGGGGGAGGAGGAGGAGGAGGAGGAGGAGGAGGAAGAGGAGGAGGAGGAGGGGGAGGAGGAGGAGGAGGAGAAAGGGGGGGCTTGAAAGACCTGCCTGGGTGCCCCCTTCTTCGGGTGGTGATGGCCCGGGCAACGGCCGCTCCGTGCCAGAAGCACCCAAAGAGAGGCCACCGCTCGGGCGCCTTCCCGATCTCTGAGAAGCGCTGCAGGCCCTCTCCGAATGCGCAGACGACTTCTCAGAAGGCGCGGGGGGCTTCTGAAAAGCCCCGCCGCCTCCTGGGGAGGCCTGTCCTCTGTCACATCCCCCTGGGAAACGATCGACTGATCCGGGTACGCCGGTGCTGAAACGAGCACTCAACATCGGAGGTGTGGGAGTGGGGACGCAGTACATCGACGATGCTTATTCGAGGCAAGCAGTGCCGCTGTAAAGATAACAAAAATCATTGCCAACGACCCAACTTACGTATGCGGCTGTGCGTACCGCGTTGAGGCCCCGCTTTCAGTGGAACTCCCGATGGGGCCACGAACTGTGTGAGGGATGTGCCAGACTGGGCGGGGAACCGCATGCGAACCCTCCCAATGAGGCACACCGTGGAGCTCCTTGTGGGGCCACGAGACGTGCGAGGGATGTGCCGAAATGTGCGGGAATCCGAATGCGAACTGTACCTCTAGGGCCTTCGGTGGAGCTCCCTGTGGGTCCGCGAAACGTGTGAGGGGTGTGCCGGCATGGGCGGGGAACCGCATGCGAACTCTGCCACTGGGGCCTTCGGTGGATTCCCTTATGGGGCCACGAACGTGTGCGGAGGGGCCGACATGGGCGGGAGAACCGCATGCGGACCCCTACCACTGGAACTCTCTGTGGAGCTCTCTATGGGGCCTCGAGCCGTGTGGGAGGTGTGCCGAAAAGGGGCGGAAATCCGCCATCCGAACTCTGCCACTGGGGCCTTCGGTGGAGCTCCCTTTGGGAAGCGCAGTTGATGCGGCGCTGCCGTGCGAAGCCTGCCGCTGGGATCTTCGGTGGAACTCCCCTGTGGGCCACGAGCCGTGTGAGGGGTGCGCCAAATTGGGGCGGCACCGCCATGCGACACTGCCACTGGGGCCCTCGGTGGAGCTCCCCCCTGTCGGCCGCGAGCGTGTGGGGGGCGAGCCGAAGTGGGGCGGCGCCGCGCCAGGCGAGGCCCGCCATGCCGACGGGGGGCCCCTCGGGTGGCGCGCCTGTCAGAGCCACGAGCCATGCGAGGGGCGTGCCGGCGTGGGGCGGCGCCGCCAGGCGATCTCCTGTGGGCCACGAAGACGACGTGCCGAAATGGAGCGCCATGCGAACCCCGCCACTCGGGGGCCTTCGGTGGAGCTCCCTCCCGCTGGGGCCACGGACCGTGTGAGAAAGTGCGCCAAATGGGGCCACGACCGCGTGAAGGGTGCGCAAAAATGGGGCGGCACCGCCATGCGAACCCTACCACTGGGGTGTGGAGCTTTCCGTATCTGAGGGGAATCCCTAAATGGGGCGGCACCGCCATGAGAATCCTGCCGCTGGGGCCTTCGATGGAGCTCCCTGTGGGGCCACGAAACGTGTGAGGGGTGCGCCGAGATGGGGCGGCGCCGCCATGCGAAATCTGCCACTGGGGCCCTTCGGTGGAGCTCCCTGTGGGGCCACGAAGCGTGTGAGGGGTGCGCGGAAAGGGGACGAGGAACTGCATGCGAACCCTGCCACTGGGACCTTCGGCAAACCTCCCGATGGGGTCCCGAAACGCAGAGGCCATGATGGGAGCAGGGAGGAGGGCAGAAGGAGGAGGAGGAGGAGGAAGAATAAGAGGAAGAGGAGGATGAGGATAAGGATGAGGATGAGGATGAGCATGAGGAGGAGGAGGAGGAAGAGGAGGAGGACGCGGGGGACGAGTCTGCCACATGGAATGGGAGGCGGGTGCGCCGTGCGAGCGCTTGCAGTGTGGCCCTAGCTGGGGCTCCCTTTATGGGGGCACGGAGCGTGTCACAGGGAGACGCGGGGTGGAGGCAGCCTGCTACGCCTCGTTCGTTGAAATTGGTCTTCGCGCTGATCGGCGGTGCGCCAGGGAACAGCGGTGTCCACAGCTCCCTGTGGGGCCTGCCAATCGTTTCAGGGGCTAGCGGAATCAGCGCGGTCACGGCGAGCGACATGATGAGCTCAAACCAAGACTGCCTGCGACCTTCAGGTGCTTGAAACACAGCATGTTGGCCTTATGTTGAGCTCCTATGGGGCTTGAAAGGCGTGGCAGGGGCGAACGACATTAGCCCACGACTGACACGGAGTTGTTCGGTTCTGTCTTCTGTGGAGCTCAGAGCCTGACAAGCGTGGCGGAGGGCGAGCAAACTGAGACTACGACTGCATGCAAACTTGTCCATTTCGGCCAGCAGTGGGGCTTGCTGGTGGCTCGAACAGCGTGGTGGGGGTGAGCGGCATGAGCCCACGACTTGCATGTGAACTGCTCCTGCTCCATTTCGGCTTTCTGTGGAGCTCCCTATGAATCTCATAAAGCGTAGCAGGGGCAAGCAAACTGAGCCCACAACTGCATGCGAACTTTTCATGTTGGCCTTCTGTGGAGCTCCTATGGGGCTCGAAATGCGTGGCAAGGGCGAGCGACATGAGCCCACGACTGCATGCGAACTTCTCCATTTCGGCTTTCTGTGAAGAGCGTGGCAGGGGCGAGCGAATTGAGCCCAAGACTGCAAGCGATTTTTTCCATTCAGGCTCTCTGTGTAGCTCAGGGGCTTGGAAACCGTGGCAGGGGCTAGCAAAATGAGCCCGCGGCTGCATGAGAGCTGTTCCCTTTCGACCTTCTGTGGAGCCCCTTCTAGGGCTTGAGAAGCGTGGCATGGGAGAGCAGCATGAGCCCACGACTGCACGCGAATGTTCCCACCTTGGCACTGTGTGGAGCTCCTGATACGGTGGGCTTGGAAAAAAAAGCGTAGCAGGGGCTGCCAGGGCAGGTGCAGGCGGGAGGAGGGGGGAGGAGGGACGAAACGCGGGGCGCTCCTGACTCAAAACGAGGACCCAACAAACACCACATAATGGTTGGGAAAGAAACACTTGCTGAACAGGGGGAGGAGGAGGGATCGCGCCGTCTCGGCTTGTTCGCCAGGGCTGTTCCGTCGCCATCGCCGTCGCTGCCGCCGTCGCGTCGCCGCCGCCATCACGTCCGCTCCTTCCCCTGAGTTCGTCGCCGCTCCCCCACTCTCCAATGGCCCACGTCCTCAAGCACGCCAGCCAACGCGAAACACATCAGCCCATCCACATTGTTGTCATCGATGCTGTCATCGAGCCGAAGGGGAGCCACTTCCCTTTCATCCCTTCCCCGCGAAGGGGGGGGGGGTCCCAGGCCCGGGGGTGGTCCAGGGGGGGGGCCGGAGGGGGTCCTTGGTCAGAAGACCACCCTCCAGGGGCCCATGGCCCGCCCTCTCCCTCCCATCTCCGTCGAGTGCCGAGGGCCTCCAAGGTAGGAGGCATAGGCCGTAAGGCCTTAGCAACACTCGCTGAACTGTTGCATCGGGAAGATCGCGCCGTCTCGGCCTTTCGCCGTCGTCGGCGTCCAGGGGGGGCTTCCAAGCTGCAGGACCTCAACAAAAACTGCTCCAGAGGAAGCCAGGGCGAGATGATCGAGGGGGCGCGCCACGAAGACATCTCGGCGTCGCGTGCCTGGGACGGTGCATGACGAGTAGTAGGAGGGCATCGGAGTCGGATCAGATCAGGAGGAGGTGCCACGGGGGAGCGCGAGAGCGAGGAAAGGTAGCCATTGAGACAGAAGGAGCAGCATTATGCGAGAGCGTGTGAGCATGAGAAGGAACACGGTGAGGACGAGCACGAGCAGAAGTCACAGCGCGAGCAGCAGGACACGTCTGATGACGGCCCCACCTAAGACGAAGCGCAACACCCACATCGAAAGGCTGGGAGAAGCGCAAGAACACTTCCTGCTGAGCCGAGCCGACAGCGGATACCACAGCCCCATCAAGGGAACGGTCTGCGCTGGGCTTGAACATGAATAACCAAAGAAAGGCCTCGCCGATAACCCGTGTATTTTAGACGAGATCGATCGCCCAACGAGATTAAACCCACCGCGAACACCGCTCAGAATACATTGTTTACCAACGTACCAGCTCACATCGAACGAGCACGCTCAGAGCCCGAGGAAGCAGAGAGATAGAGGGAGAGGTCGAAAGACACACACGAGCACACCTACATATATCTGGATATACAAACTAAACCACGCGCGCTTCGCGCGCGTTCAGGCTCTAGCGCAGTCCAAGGCAAATCACTGGACTGGATGAGGACGGACATCATCCCGCAAGGATCACCATCTTGAAGCATTCTTCCTGATGGACGCTTCAGGAGTCGTGGCCTGTGGATCGTCGTCCGCGGTCTTGAAGATCTTCTGGGCGTCTGGAGGGCCCCTCGGACTATCTCGGAGGTGTGTGGAAGGTCCCTAGGAGACCCTGGCAGCGAATGGTATGGGGCAACTCACCTCCACCACCATCATGATCATCATCATCATCATCATCATCATCATCATCATCATCATCATCATCATCATCGTCATCATCAACATCAGCATCAGAATCATCATCCTCAGCAGCATCATCAACACCATCATCATCAACATCATCATCAACGTAAGCATACGCATCGTCATCATCGGAATTAGTATGATCATTCTCATCATCTTCATCATCATAATCATGATCACCATCGTCGCCATCATCCAATAGCATCAGAATCACCAGTATCAACAGCAGTCGCATCATGAACACCAGTATCATCAGCATCAACATCAGCATCATCATCAACATATTAATCATCGACATCAACAGCATCAACAGCATCAGCGTCATCATCACCATCATCACCACCACCATCATCGTCATTATCACCATCATGAAAGTAAGAATAATCATCAGCATCAGCAGCATCTTCATCATCGCCTCCACATTGATCATCATCATCCTCATCATCAACAGCCTGCATAACACCATCAACATCGGCACCCGCAGCATCACTATCATCATCGTCATCATCAGCATCATCAGTACAAGCAGCATCAACAGCATCAGTATCATGCAAAATCATCCTCACCGTCGCCACCACACAACCATCCTCATAATCAGTACCAACAACAACAGCATCATCATCAGCATCGCCATCATTATCATCAGCATCGTCATCATCATCATCATCATCATCATCATCATCATCACCATCACCATCACCATCACCATCGTCATCGTCATCATCATCATCATCATCATCATCATCATCATCATCATCATCATCATCATCATCAGCATCAGCATCATCATCATCATCAGCATCAGCATCAGCATCAGCATCAGCATCAGCATCAGCATCAGCATCAGCATCAGCATCAACATCAGCATCAGCAGCATCATCATCATCACGGCTCTCCCACGCCTGGAGACCCGCGGTGTCACGCGCCGCAGCCTCCCGCGCCCCCTCGAACAGTCGCCATCCAGAAAGCTGGGCTGGCACGGTGTCGGGACTTGACGCGGGCACCTGGATACTGGAGCTGCTCTCTGGGCCTCTTGGGGTCCTCTTGAGGCCGCGTCGTCGTCGTGGTCATGCGAGGGGGAAACGGGGGGGAGGGAGAGAAGGTGAGTGGACGGAGGGAGCTGGAGAGGGAGGGAAAACATATAAAAAGGAGGGAAGGATGGAAAGAGGGCAAGAACGACCAGCGGCTGAGTAGAGGAGACAATGGGTGCTGGCGCGGTGGACGTGTACACCTCGGCGCGATGCTGTTTCCCCAACTTGCACGTCCTCCAGATGACTTCTGGCTCGGCTTGTATGTGCGTGTGTGTGTGTGTGGGCTCCAACGCCCTTTTCTCTCCACATCTGAGCAACACACGCTGTGGCGGAAGGCCGCTGCTACTGCGGGCCCGATGTGAACCAGCCATCATCGTCTGCAAGTGCCCTCACCCGCGCGGTAATACTCCCGCAGGGCGCCCTCCCGTGACGGAGCCTCGGGGTACAACAACTGCCACTCGGCAAGCCGCCACAGCCTCAGCTCCGTCAGGTTACATATGGTTCTGCCTTTGCCGCACAACATACAGAACGCGCTCAGCGGCATGTCTGGCCGCGGATGTGCGCGCAGCTCGGGGGCCCATTTCACGGGAGGGGGACCACGTGTAAAGGCAGGATTGGCCCTCAATTTGAACGTGTACCTGGGATTGCCGCACACGTCGCAGGGAGCGTGGCTCGGATGGGAGCTCAACCAGTGCTCCGCAGAGAACCGACCCAGCCCAAAATAAGGGGGATCGGCCCCGGACAGCACGCCTTTCTCGACGGCAGTCCGCACCGCTGACGCCATGGCCGACTCAAACGTCAAGGGCGGAATCAGGCGGGCAACGTAGTCACACCTGGCCAGCCACATGTTTCCTGGGTAATGATGGTGCGGCATAGGGCTGAAGCGGCTGCCACACGCGGTGCACGTTTCGAACATGTCCTGAGAATGGCACGCATCGGACCAGATTCCCTTCATAAGGAATCCCCGGATATTGTCGTTAAACCGACCTGGATGGAAAGTCCCTTTGGAATGCATGTACACCACACGCTCGGAATTATGTTTTGAACAGTAATCGTAGAGATGCTGCAATGTAAGAATCTCGTTCCCAGTCCGAGACGACTCGAGCAACCGGCACGTGGGACATTCGAGCAGTGTTGTCACGCCGCTGTCGTTAGGGCCGATGAACGTCCACATCAGGTTCACGCCGTGGCCAAAAGCATTAGAAGACCGCATGGTAGACAATTGCTCTTTGACAACGGAAGTTGTCAAAGCTTCGGCTTCATCCCCGCCATTGCTTTGAAACACATGGTAGAAGACTGTGAGCGGTCGTGGCCATGCCCGAGGGCTCTGACCAGTCACATAAGGAACACGTTCCATGTCCTGACCAGTCACAGTGCTCTGACCAATCTCAGCGATCTGACCAGTGACATTGCCCTGACCACTCACATTACGAACACGCTCCATGTCCTGACACGCCACAGTGATCTGAGCAGTCACAGTGCTCTGACCACTCACACTGCTTTGACAAGGCGCATCACGAACACGTGACAGCGGAACGGACCCATTGCACCATAAATGTGGATAGCAAGCAATCCCGGACAACCATGACTTGACAACCTTGCACGCGCCATGCTTCACGACAACAAAACAAACAAGGAATGTGATTACTGCCGAACAGAAGATGCAGATATTGTCTCCAAAACTTGATGTGTATCTGAAAAACATGCGAGCGCATTGACTTAAGAATGTGTCTTGAACACGCCCTGGGCTTCTTATTATAGCTTCCAGCGTCCATTCAAGCAAACGCGTTTTTTGAAATATTTCCCAACACCCAATACAACGTTTCGTGGCCCAATAGTGAACCCCACCTACGGTCCCAGTGCTACCGTCCGCATGCGTCCCGCACACCCAGTACAGCGCTTCGTGGCCCCATAGGGAGCCCCACCGAAGGTCCCAGTGCTACCGTCCGCATGCGTCGCACACCCAGTACAGCGTTTCGTGGCCCTCCTCCCCCTCCTCCCTGCGTTTCACCCACCCGGTACACCGTTTCGCGGCCCCATGGGGAGCCCCACCTACGGTCCCAGTGCTACCGTCCGCATGCGTCCCGCACACCCAGTACAGCGTTTCGTGGCCCCATAAGGAGCTCCACCGAAGGTCCCAGTGCTACCGTCCGCATGCGTCCCGCACACCCAGTACAGCGTTTCGTGGCCCTCCTCCCCCTCCTCCTTGCATTTCACATACCCAGTACAGCGCTTCGTGGCCCCATAGGGAGCCCCACCGAAGGTCCCAGTGCTACCGTCCGCATGCGTCCCGCACGCCCAGTACAGCGCTTCGTGGCAGCATAGGGAGCTCCACCGAAGGTCCCAGTGCTACCGTCCGCATGCGTCCCGCACACCCAGGACAGCGTTTCGTGGCCCTCCTCCCCCTCCTCCCTGCGTTTCACCCACCCAGTACAGCGCTTCGTGGCTCCATAGGGAGTCCCACCTACGGTCCTAGTGCTACCGTCCGCATGCGTCCCGCACAGTGCGCACCACCGAAGGTCCCAGCAACCCAGTACAGCGTTCGTGGCCCTCCTCAGCGATCCACCGAAGGTCCTTCTGTCCGCATGCGTCCCGCCCACCCAGTACAGCGTTTCGTGGCCCTCCTCCCCCTCCTCCTTGCATTTCACATACCCAGTACAGCGCTTCGTGGCCCCATAGGGAGCCCCACCGAAGGTCCCAGTGCTACCGTCCGCATGCGTCCCCCCCGCCCAGTACAGCGTTTCGTGGCCCCGTAAGGAGCTCCACCGAAGGTCCCAATGCTACCGTCCGCATGCGTCCCGCACACCCAGTACAGCGCTTCGTGGCCCCATAGGGAGCTCCACCGAAGGCCCCAATGCCCCCGTCCGCATGCGTCCCGGAAGCCCAATTCGGCATTTTCACCCACCCAGTGCAGCGCTTCGTGGCCCAATAGGGGGCTCCACCCAAGGCCCCAGTGCCACCTCCGCATGCGTCCGGGAAATGTAGTTTGGCATTTTCACCCGCGCAGTGCAGCATTTCGTGGCCCCATGGGGGGCCCCACCGAAGCCCCCAGTGGGACCGTCCGCGTGCGTCCCGGAAACCCAATTTGGCTTTGTCACTCACTCAGTACAGCGCTCCGTGGCCCCATAGGGAGCTCCACCGAAGCCCTCAGTGGGACCGTCCGCATGCGGCCCGGGAACCCAATTCGGCACACCACCCACACAGTACAGCATTCCCCCCGCCCAGTGCAGCGCTTCGTGGCCCCATAGGGAGCTTCACCGAAGCAAATATTCACAATCACGGTACCCACAAGTGCATATGGTTGGGACCCTCGCCTGGATAATTGCTGGCTTATGTTTTTTGTCGTTTGTGCTTCCCCTGGGCCACGGGTCGAAGTTGCCTGGTTGAGACCCTTCCAGTACGTTTCCAGTACGTTTTCAAACGCGCTTCCAACCCCCCCATGACCGGTGGGTCGGACAGCGACTGACAGGTAACGCACGATAGGAGCTCGACACTCTCTCCACACAACCTCTCTGTTGCATCTCCTGCCCGTTGCAACCGCCGCTTTCCTCCTATGCTGTCTGGTGCTGCTACTGCCTGTTGCTACTGCCTGCTGCTACTGCTCGGTGCTGCTGCTGTTGTCCGCTGCGCCGCCCGCCCCGTATTCATTATCATCGGCACTTTCGTTTTGCGACGCCCCAGGGGGGCCGTTTTCCTTACCGTTTCCAGCTTGCGCCGACTCGTTTTGAAATAGTTTCCAACCGATCGCGCGGCAACGTTTTTAGATCGCTTCCAAGGTCCATTTTCTAAGCGTTGCCAGGTGCCCGCTGTTGGCTCACAAGACATCAAAGCTGGAAACTATTAAAGATTAAAGAAAACCCCAGGGCGTTCCCAAGACATACTCAGCGCATTGACATCCCAAACAAATGAGCAACGACACGACAGGCGGCACGCTGGGCCAAATGGCGTGAGCCGAACTTGCTACTCACGGAACGGTCTTAGAATTAGGTCGGGCATGTTCTCCTACGGGGGGATTTGTGATGACAAATCCCGAACACTCAACAATTATTCACTGCGTGGAGCTCCCCATATGTGCATCTACTCGCATGGACCTGTCCGCCGTGAATGTCTAGGCGCAAGAACTTTCTAATATTAACGGGCTTCAGTTGTGACGGTCTGGACATCAATCTAATTGCGAATGAATTGGAGTGTGAATGAGCCTCAGTAGTACAAGCGCGTCTCTGTGCATGAGCCTGGGGCCTCCTGGGGCCTCCTGAAACCTACTGGGGCTTCCTGGGGTCTCCAGGAGCCTCTTGGGACCTCCTGGGACCTCCTAGGAAGGTGTCGTGCCCCAGGAGAGGCGCAATCTATAGCAACAGACGTACATAAACCATTGCGGATTAGAGCCACTTTTTTATAACCAAGGCAGCTCGCGCGGCACGAGCCGATCCTGCCGCCAAGAAGGCGAGAGCCGCAAAATGCGGCCAGGAGGCTCCGCAAACAGCGGCCTCCAAGGTGAGGCGGCCGCGCGAGCCACCATCAGCAACCTTCGACGAGCACAGCTCGGCCCGCGAGGCGCCTCCAGACGAACAGACGAGGCGGAGAGGCAGCAGCTCGAGGAGTGTCGCCGCCAAAGCTGGCACTGAGGACAGGCCATAGGAGCTGGCCGCCGCAAGCGCACGTGCAACTGCTGGGACACCGAGGGCCGAGAGCCCGCAACAGAAAGCACCGCGCTCGCAGGCCCGCTCAGGAGATGCAGCGCCGACGCCGCTCCTTGCTCGCCCAAGCCCGCCACGGGGACCCAGGGCCGAACTGCGAGCGAAGCCACAGGCGGCCTTCGGCAATCTCTGCGGCCGAGGGCGCAGGAGGGGCGGCCTCGCCACCGGCTTCCTGCCACCCCGGCCTCCGGATATCGCGGTCGACAGTGAGGGCCACTGTGCCAGCGAAAACGTGGGAGCTCAGCGCCAGGAGCCGCCTGGGTCCGCGCGGCGCCGCCTCCACAGCACTGCCCCCTACCTCGCTGGCCGCCGCCACGAGGCCGCCGCCGCTGCTCGTGAGGGGAGCGCCCGAGGACGGAGGCGAAGTGCAATTCCCGTCCTGGTTGCGGGAGTCGTCCACCTGCATGCCGATCACGCCGTCGAAGCCGCCATCGGCCGTCCCACTGCCACCGCTGAGGACGGCAGCCTCGTTGGCCAGCAAGTACGCCGTGACGATCGAGGGGTCTGCGAAGGCAGGAGGAGAGGACGTGCAGGCAGTGCTGCACGCCGTGCCAGGACCAGGAAGGCGAGGAGGCTGAACAGCACCATCTTCAGAAGGCCGAGGGTCAATGTGCGCGCCGAAGCCGCCGCCGCTCTCAGGCCTAGCCAAGACCGTGTCATCCAAGCCCTCGACGCCAGCGTGCCACCACAGCGGCCCAGAAGCCAGAGGGGCCGCAGTGGGAGGGCCCGCGCTGCGCAAACGCTCGGCGAGGGCGAAGCTTGCGCCAGCGGGCAGGCTGCGCCCGCGCCTGCGAGCTACGCTCCAGCCCGTTGCCACGCCCTCGGCCGCCGAGCGCTGGGCAGGCACGCGGCGGTGTGGAGCCACCGCACCTGCAGGGCGAAGTTGAGGAAGAGCAGCGCGACCACGACCACCAGCGCCGCGTCCGTGCCGAGGCCGACAATCAGGGCCACTGCGCTGCAGCCGATTGAGCGAAGCCATCCTCACCCTCGCAATTGATGCGCCCCTCCGCGAAGTGCAATGCATGCCAGCATTCCGCCTGGCGACGGCCAGCGGCGGCGCGCGCCTGCATGCTCCCGAGGAAGTGGCCCCATCAACAGTTGGCGACGATGCAAGCTCGTCGCAGACGTCCGCGCCGAAAGAAGTGCCACACTGCGCCCCGAAGCAGCCGCCACAGGGGGGCGGCGCGGCGGGGGCAGCGCGAGGGGCAGAGGCTCCAACAGCCGCCGCACGGCGGTTAGCAAGCATTTCCATCAGCACAGGCACGGCCAGGGCCAGCCGCGACGCAAGCTCCTGGACCAGGACGTCGTCGGGGACCTGCTGGCTGCTGGGCGGAGGAGCCGCGAGCCGCACGGCCTGCACCGCCGCCTCCTCGCGCACCGCGCGGCAATTGGCGAGCTCGGCCTCGAGCGCGGCGACCCTCGCCAGGGCAGCCTCCAGCTTCCCGTGGGCAGCACTGCGCGCCGCGTTCTGGCGGGCGCGGCGCGCAGGCCAGAGAGAAGCCGCGGCCCCCCCCGCCTGCCGAGGCTGCTCGGCCGCCACAGGGGCAGCTTGGCAGCCGACCGTAGCCATCTCCCCAAGCGTCCGAACTCTGCGGCCTCCCGCGGGGCCCAAAACGAGAGCGAGCAGAACGGGAACGGCGTGAGCCAAAATGGCTACGGACGCGGATTAGAGCCACAGAAGAAGGGCAATATATAGGAACACGCGTAAACCACCAAGGACTCGTGCCCCAGGAGAGGCCCAATATATAGGAACATGAGTAAAACATTTAGGATTGTGTACACAGGAGAAGGACCATCTATAGAAACATACGTAGACCATCGAAGAATCGTGCTCCAGGTAAGGCCCAATCGATAGGAGCATACGTAAAACACATGGGATTGGAGCCACTCCTGTTGCCTTCTGAGGCCTCCTGCTCCTGGGGCCTCTCGGGGCCTCCTGTTGCCTTCCGAGGCCTCCTGGCGCTTCCTGTTGCCTCCTGGGGCATCCTGTGGTTTCCTGAGGCCTTCT